CCTCTGCCGGCTTGTCTTCCAAGCTTGTCTCCCTTCATGATTTCGCTCTTGGCTGCCGCCTTTTCTCCCAAGCTTGTCTCCCTTCATGATTTTGCTCTTGGCTGCCGCTGCCGCCTTGTCTCCCAAGCTTGTTTCCCTTCATGATTTCCTTGTCTGTGAAGCTTGTCTCCCTTCATGATTTCGCTTTTGGCTGCCGCTGCCGCCTTGTCTGTGAAGCTTGTCTCCCTTCATGATTTCGCTCTTGGCTGCCGCTGCCGGCTTGTCTCCCAAGCTTGTCTCCCTTCATGATTTCGCTTTTGGCTGCTGGTGCCGCCTTGTCTCCCAAGCTTGTCGCCCTTCTTGATTTCGCTTTTGGCTGCCGCTGCCGCCTTGTCTCCCAAGCTTGTCTTTCTTCATACTTTCGCTCTTGGCTGCCGCTGCCGCCTTGTCTCCCAAGTTTGTCTTCCTTCATGATTTCGCTCTTGGCTGCCGCTGCCGCCTTGTCTCCCAAGTTTGTCTCTGTTCATGATTTCGCTCTTGGCTGCCGCTGCCGCCTTGTTATTTTCTTGCCTGCCTTTGACGTGGATGCTGTTATGTGATTTAGGTTTTTGAGTGGGGTGGTGTGCCTTGTGTCGCTTGCATCTTTTATGTAGCAAACTAAGCATCGTTACTTTCGGCAGGAAACACACCCTTTTAGTGAGAACGCACAGGCGTTCTGAAAGGTTTGCGCATGATGCGCCCACTTGCACACTTGGGCTGTTAAAATAACCCCGTGCTCAGCAGTTTAGTATTGGCATGTGCCTTATCACTACTTTTGCATTGCCGGCCCAGAAAACGATAACAGTAAAACAACGATAACGAGTTTATACAGGATGCTCTCTGGGGTCTATGCCGGTATAATTTTTTGAATCATATTGTATATGTATTTAAAAATACAATACTTCAATTATAGATTGATCTAAATAAAATATTCTAAGTTCCAGTTCTACAACAAACAAAATAGTTAACATAATTCTAAATAAAGATTATCCTAAAGATTACAATATATCAAATGTAAAATCAAACATCCGATATATAATATAGCCATATAATTATTAACCAAATAATCAACATTTTTCTCAAACCACACAAAATTCAAGTTTATAGAAAAATGCTTTAAAATGATATGACCCATTGTATCGCATAATTCTGTCCTTTTACCGGGCTGCGTGCCTGGTCCAAGTGATTTTGCCCCGATCTCGGGGCTTTGTTCGCTGGCTGAATTTTTCTCTGCCTAATTACTCTAGATACTCTTGGCCGGCTGGTTTTGCACTTGTCTCCCACTTGTCTGCCTGCTTGGGTGCGCTGGGCCAGCGTAGTCTGGCTGCACTTGGCTGGGACACTTGTCTCCACTTGTCTCCCTGCTTGGATGCTCTTGGCCGGATGATTTTAAAAGATTTACACTTGTCTCCAAGTTGTCACCCTGCTTATCTCCTTGCTTGGATACTCTTGGCCGGGTGGTTTTGCACTTGATACACTTGTCTCCACTTGTCACCCGCTTGCCTCAACCTGCTCTGGGTGAGCAATAGTCGCCACGGACAGTAGTGGCGGCCAGTCCGAGCCTTCGAGGGCCGAGCGTTTGGGGGCGGAACCTTTGGGCCGGAGCGTTCGGGGCCTTGGGAACTTCCGGGGCGCGACTGGCACGCCGCATGAAATGGACACTCAATATACCGGAGGCCGTCATCGTACTAGTAGCGCTCATGGTAGACAGGAATTGACGTATGGTTGCAGCAGCAGGAATTAAAGAATGATGTTCCAATGCAAAAATAATGTAGTGGTAGTCGTCCCAGTGGTGGTGGGGCATGCCATAGACACCTAACAGCGTCACCCTGCAGCGGTGCCAGCACCCAGCCGCCACCAGCACACCCTGCAGCAGCCCCAAGCTCCAAAGCGCAAACTGCCATCAACATCTGGCAGCAGGACCAACCCGCCTCCACAAGCGCGAGCTGCCATTGATATCAGCGGCACCCTGAAGCCACATGTCAGTATGATTCAGAACATACAATAGGTTGGCATATGTTCTGCTTTTATTGCTTGAATTGCCTCTCCTGACATGACAAAAAGCTACTCGGACGCGCAATGGACGTCATGGAGGTATATGCTGGGGCGGGAAACATTCTTGCAAGGTTGCGCCCCGGCCTTTCCAAGTTGAAGCGTAAACTTGTCCAAACCTGTTGGAGGAAGTGGCAGCTCTTGAAATTTAAATTTAAGGGGCTTACGCACAACAGCGGGCCAGCGTGCTATTCAGTGGCACGCGCCAAACTCAAAAAGAGTGAGACTTGTTGTTGTTGTTGTTGTTGTTGTTGTTGTTGTTGTTGTTGTTGTT